TCTTCGCACAATATCCAGCTTTTGGTGGAAGGTCTGTCTTGAAAATTGTGTGGAAAGTAGTTCCACAACCAGATCAACGTCTTCTCCTTCAGCCATTTTGGGTTAAAATGCATTGACAGCTCTCGCGGGTGGCGCTCATCCAATGTTTTTTTTTTTATTATTGAACAAGTCAGGATACAATTCTCAGGAAACAGAAAAGGCGCTAATCCATAAGGCCTTCTCGCTAGCCCTAGTACGCAGACGAGAACAAGTCAGGATACAGGTAACAGATCACGAGTCTCAGACTCGTGATCTGATTGGCTATTGAAACCTGACTGTGCCCGTTCACTTACAGCGCACAGGGGCCTGCTCTGTTTAATCTGAAGGCCCAGATCAAATGTAATTTACCTGGCAATACAGCTAGCTGAAATATGATTGGTTAAAAACTCTACCATAATAAATAACTTATTTATCGAGTGGCTTTGTATGTTATTTTAAAAAACATTGAAAACAATAACATTGAAAGCCACTCAACTAAGTGGAAATAATATGACGTAAAGAATACAGAGAATAATTTTGTTTACATATTTATGAAAATAAAATAACATAAATTATAAAATAACAAAAAATACATAAAAGTAAATTTACTTTTCTGAGAATGTTTAGGCCAGCAGAGAAGGCCTTGCTGGCCCTCAGGGTCCGCCACTGGTGCAATGTGATGTACAAACACTATACACAAAGCTAACCATATTCACAAAACACAAAATAATAAGAACAATACAATCATAAATAAGCAAACCAAATACTATTTGACAATCAAAATATTGCTCATCTGACTATAGACTACAACCACAACTATAAGCATTGATGTCTGGTTTTAAGGAAGTAAGGTCTAGCCCAGGGGTGTCAAACTCATTTCACATGGTGGGCCACATACGGCCTCGGTAGATGTCAAGTGGGCCGGACCATTAAAATGATACAATGCTTTGCTATAAATAACCAAAACAATATGTCTTTCCTTTGTTTTGGTATAAAGAAGCACAAGAACATTAGGAAAATGTTGAAATTTAATGAACATATCTTTTACAAAACATTTCATGAAGCACCTTACATTTCCTTCGACAAATGTGCAATTTACTTTTATCATTCACATATATGCATTGCAACTGATCCCACTGATTGTACAAACTTTAACAAGTAATTGGTATTGAAAAATATAGTAATGCACTTTAAGATTAAACAAGATTCATAAAGAAAGCAAGTTTTAAAGCATTTACACGTGCATATAAAATCTAAATGTAATCCCTGCCTACACCTTACAAACTAAGGAGAGTGCTATTAAATGTGTAAATGTGAGAGTGCTATTGATAGCGTCTGCTGTCATGGGTCTGTCTCAGTGACAGACTGAGGCTGCTGTTGTCTTCTTCTCTGATCAAAACAGTGTCCCCTTGCGGATACTCAATGAATTGCACCTGATTAAAAATATTAATTCTGTGTCTTTAATGCATTTTTTTCGCTTTTACATTATCCTGCGGGCCTGATTGAACCTACTTGCGGGCCGGTTCCGGCCCGCGGGCCGTATGTTTGACACCCCTGGTCTAGCCGAATGCTCAATCAAACTGACCCACTTCAAGAGTCAATATTTTTTCCCCTTTAAAAGCAATCCGGAGCACTCACTCGCTGTTACGTTGGTCCATCCCTCCCTCCTTGTTTTCTAATAACCATCCTTTTTTTTTTTTAATCCATGTGTTGCTGTGGCCGCAGTTAAAATGTTGTGGACATAGTTTTGAGATCATTTTTCAGACACTGTAGTCCACAAATTCTCTGTGGGGGGCTGAGAGGAGGGTTACTATTATGCAAATCAACCACACGGTTACATCACAATCTAGCAAGAATCAGAATGGCTCACTCATACTCTCACACACACACACACCTATTATCCATATTGTATATACCGTATATATATATATATATATATATATATATATATCACACCTATTATAATGAATTCACTTAGTTGTTTGATTTTGTACTTGATGGGTAGGCAGGCACTTCAGAGATCCAACTATTTTTGGACAGGTAATTAAGAAACAATTTTGTAAAATATGCCTCCTTTAAAATTCAGCCATGTGGTTTGTCAGCTTCATTTGTGAGAACACATGAGTCCAGATGCTTTTAGTTTTCAATTCCTGATAAGATACGAAAACCTTTGTTTGTCTCGCAATGGAGAAATTCGCACTCTACAGCAGCAAAATTTGGAAGGAAGAAAGTTGAAAAAAAAAATGAAGTATTTGCATGCACAAAATTTTTTTTAAAAAGAGCAACACAATGTGTAGAGAATTGGGTTGTATCGGAGAAGTGCAATTCAAAACACACATTGATTTTAAGCAGGCTCAGTACAGATTTATCCGAATTATCAGAGTATTGAATAGGTGAGATTTTTGGAGGTGGAGGTGTTTTGTAGGAAAACACTGCATTTAAGTCTTTCCTTCCATTCAAATACTGTAGTCAGCTTTCTCAGCTGCTGTTTTTGTGACACTGCGCAATGTTCCTTGTGTTGTGTTACAATATTCCGATCTTTGTATTTGAATTGAAATTGTTTGAGAAAAAAACATATGTGATGTAATTTTTTGTTGTTGTTGTAAGAAGTCTCTCAATAATTTGGTTGTCGATGTACTCGATGCTTTCCCTTCCTAATGCAACTTTTATTTCCAGTTTATTTTGTGTGCGTCTGTTTGATGATGTCGGTGTGGGTGAGGAATGCAGAGCTGATACCGCAACATTTCAGTTTAACTTCTGGTGCCCGCTATAATGAGACCTTATCACTGGAAGAGGCAGGAGCAAGCCTAATGGGTACGGACAAGTTAGGAGTCCCCAAATGCCACTGACATGATTTACATGTACAACTGCCAAAGGAGCTAAAGGTTACTGTGTGTCAGACGAAGCCATCTGATGAATTACATTCCTGGCTGATTGTGTGACAGGAAACCCATAATTGTCTTTGGAAAGAAATAAACGATAAAAGTGAGCTTGAGTGTATCTCATCATAAAGTACTGTATTGCATAAGTATGGCAGTGCTGCTAAGTGAGCAGTGATGAAGGTTGAATATTTTGAATGGTCACTTGGTGGGTCAGCAAAAAGGCAACTGGAAATGAGTCAGACAATGGAGGTTGTGCTTTGTGCAGGAAAAATATCGGAAGGAAAACCTTTTTCAATAAATGTCCCATTTTATGTTCCAGATGACTCGGGAGACGAGGAGCCGGCATCCCAATCGGACCGCACTGAGATTCAGGGAACTTTAAAGATACTCGTCAGCAAGCTTGATGACCTCAGCACATGTAATGACTTGATTGCCAAGCACGGGGCTGCCTTGCAACGTTCTCTCAGTGAACTCGAGGGCCTGAAAGTTCCTGTGGAGGGAGGTGAGAAGATCAAAGCAGTCAACGAGAGAGCCACCCTCTTCCGCATCACTTCCAATGCTATGATCAATGTGAGTAGCCTCACGCTAACACATACTAATGAGTTTGCCTTGACAACGTGCATTATGGGACCATATCCAAATCCACCTCCAAACTGCTCAGCAAGTTCTACAGATGCAGTGTGGAGCATCCTGACCAACTCCATCACATCTGGTATGGGAACTGTGCCGTACAGAACAGGAAGGCTCTCCAGCGTGTCATTAAAACTGCACAACACATCTGCGGAGTAGCCTTCACCATGTATGTGAACTGGCATTAGAAGATGAGTCGGAGGTTGTACAGGTAGATTATGCGGTATAGGTAAAAATGGTTCAGAAGTTCAAAGTTCTGTATCTTTCGTCGATTCATAGTTTAATTTTCATAAAATCGTTATTGGGAAATGTTCAAAAATCACATTTGGTAAATCTATCCTTGACCAATGTCGCCCCCTAATCTATCACTTTATTGGCTTCTCAATGAAATGCAGAACCGACGTGAAATATTTGACTCGCGATTGGTGAGTTAAACTGTCGAGCCAACTTCGCTACGCTAGCTTCGGCTCACAGAGCTTTCTGCGAGCCGTGAAGTCAGACAGATTGCACGAAAGTTGTTGATGTTGTCTCTCTCCTCTTTGCGTTTCAAACCTTGCCCGTTGCTAACTGCTAGCAACACACCGCTTCGCTTCTTTGGCATTCAGCCATTGGCGTCTATGTTTAGGTGCCTAGGAGCTATTTTCGAAGCGCTTATCGCTTCACATCATTATTAAATGGAGGGAGGTAGGTAGTTTACCATGACCGTGCAAACCGAATCCCAACAGTCAGTCGAATCGAACAGTTCGTATGGTTTTCACAAAACATCACACCCCTAGTTAGGTTATTTAGCTGTACTTAAATTTCACAATCACGCACTTTTTATTGGTGCCAAACCAGTGTTGATGTAATCAATCACATCAATCTAGTGAATAACTAGTGAAGACCTTGACTATGACACAAAATGTCAAGAATAATAACTGATCCAATGAGGTTGGATCTGGGTAGTAGCGACACAACTAGAGTTGCAAGTTTCTGGATGAGCGTTGGGGGTGAAATGTTGACGTAATGACACTCAGTCTGATTGTGGGTATGTGAGAGGGTGGGGAACAGCCACCTTCTCTCTTTCAAACTGAGCTCCCCCTGACTGCTGGTGTCACAGCTGTCTGGGTTGCAGTAACAGACTCCACTCTAAGCGGACAACTGCGTAAGGTGTGTTGAACCACTTTAAAAAAAAAAAAAGTTTTATTATTCTATGATCATTTTTGTTTCTTATATTCAAAAAAAAAAGTACTTTCATTTTACAATTTGATTAAAAACCAGACCGCAGTCCTTTCCAGGAGGGAATTATACCCAAAGCTGTTTTATGTTGTTGTTTTTTTGTGATTTCGTTTTGTTTCTTTTTTTTGCAAAGCAGTCAGGGAAATTTGAATCGACTGTCATAAGACCACCCCTACTGGATTGTCAAAGTTGCGACCATAGGGGTGGTTTTCCAAGCGCTGTAGACATGCAGTGATCTGGTAGTATGACTGTGGAGGTCACCCTTGTCCATTTAGATGTGATGTAACTGTCCACATATGGTACACGTGCATGGGTGTGCTGCACGTGTGCGCACTTACTGACTGACAGGAGTGGTTCCCAGTTCAGTGGGTCTTTAAATGTCAAAGTGTCATATTTTCATACCAGCAGCACCACTTCCCGTCTCCACCGGTTTTAGCCTTTATTAACCTCGTCCTCCATCACCACCGGACGTCACATGCAGTCTGCTCGTGAACTGGAGACTCAGCAGTAAAAATGTGGAACTAGCGTATGGTTTTTCAATGGGTGTCGGTTTCATAGTCACGTCTGAGGAAGTGAACTGCAAGTTCATATGTATGTCGAGTATTTAAATTGAGTGATTGCACCAGTGGTTGAGACACTTCATGTTTGACCACTTGAAGGTAAGGGGGAAGGAATGGTACTTGGGAAACGTTAACAGGGTTCTGCGTTTTCACCAAAATTCTTTCTGTCATTTACTCTTCTTTTGGACATTGAATATGGAAGTGAATTTGTTTAAGGTGATGTAGTGGCAAAAAAAGTCTTGTAATGAAAAACCTGGAAAAAATGTCAGCTGCTTATTTAGAAATTTTGATCAAATGGAAGTTTATGGATGTATCTTACTGTTGAACGTTTTATGTTGTTGTCCTTGATTGAGTGATAACTAATTGTGCCTTTGAATGTATATGTTGTAGAACGAAACACCCGAATTATGGTTTTATGAATGCAGATCCTGGATAATGTTGTTAAATAGACATTTTAGTAAGCAGCAAAAATGAAGTTTACCAGTACTTTTATTTGATGTAAATGGCCCTTCCTATTTAGTGACTGTCACATGACATTTTCCTCTTACGTGTAGTCAGCTCTAAGGTGTTCCGGTTCATTTACTTTTGTGCTTACTGTGTAGTAGGAACATCAGGCATACGATGCAGTGCCAACAAATGCTGACAAGTCGTTTCTGTGTGATCTGAAGTAACCTCTTGGGCTCAGCAGTCTGAGCACAGCAGGAATAATGACGCCCCCTCTTGACTCAAAAGTCCTCTGCCATGCAATCAGCGTGAACGCGTAACTCATCACTCCCTCTGTTGACTTTGTTTACACTATACTTGGGGTAAAATGACCAGAAACCAAACTTTTCTGGACAGCAAAATTTTTTCTCCCTGAAGAGCAGTGAGCAGCAACCATATCACGCCTGGAAGTGAAACCAGATCTTGTGTCAGTCCCTTAAGCAATGAAGAAGACTGGAAATGAACTCTACTCTCTCTCTTTTTTTTTGTTCAACGGATCTACGTCGCAGATTGAAAACATGTGTTGTGCAGTACCGCACGTCAGAGCAAATGACAGCATTTGTGTGCTTGTGTTTCCCCAGGCTTGTCGAGATTTCCTGGACCTGGCTGAGACTCACAGTAGGAGGTGGCAGCGGGCACTGCAGTATGAGCGAGAGCAGCGTACCCACCTGGAAGAGACCATCGAGCAGCTAGCCAAGCAGCACAACAGTCTGGAGCGAGCGTGGAGAGCGGCACCGACACTTTCATCCAGCGCACCCAGCGCCCCGGCCGACAAGAAGGGTGAGCATGAGTCTCCTGCTTCTTTTTCACTTCACTGGATCAAGGTCACGTGATAAAGCCCCATCTTGTCAGATGGTTTGGATCTGATTATGTTCTCCTTAGCGTAACGTCAGGGAGTTACGTCGCATCTGAATTGACATTTGAAGTATGAGCTGTAAATATTTTCAAACAAAAACATTAAAAATAGGTGGATGAGATCATAAAACATTGACATTTTCAAAATAAAGTGTGAACAGTAATGCCACTTAATGCTGTTGCCAGTCCAGACAGAAGTCTCAGAAAAGCATTAATGCATCATCCAGGTTTGTTACACTCTAAAAAAAATGGGTAAAAAATAAAGAATTTGAGGTTAAATTTAACCCAATTGCTGTGTTTAAAAACGATCGACGCACACATGGGTCAATTTGAGCCCAAAAATTGGGTTCTTCAGTTTTGACCCAATTTGTCAGGTTAAATGAATAGAACAAATTGGGTCAGGACAGCACATTTATTTCATGATTTTTACCCAACTCAAATTGAGCCAAGTGGCGGTCAATCCCAGCAATTTCAAATATTGCCATCATTGTTTTGATTAAAATAAAACAACATTCAAACGTGCAAAAGGCCAAGTTTCTGTACTATTTTTAGATGTTAAAGTTACGAAATAACGGTTATCATGTGACTTGTGTGTGGCGTATGTTTGGTTTGCTCTTTGTACTGCGCTGTATGTACGTACTGAATGTCCTTCTGGTCGAAGGGAGTGAGAGGCCGCTCAAAGGAGAGGCCAGTGATGAAGATGAGGACACTGAATACTTTGATGCCATGGAAGATTCTCCTGCATTTATCACAGTGACTGCCACTGACAACACACAGCACAGGTCTGAACATGCCCTGATGTTTTTCTTCCTAATATGTCTCCATAAGCATTATTCAGAAAATTTCCGTCACGCTTTGCTTGTACTTTGTTGCTGCCAATTCTACTGCCACTGGCATTGGGTCGTCTTTGTCTCCATTAGGCGATCTCAGAGTATTCAGCCATAAGCATTATTCAGAAAATTTCCGTCACGCTTTGCTTGTACTTTGTTGCTGCCAATTCTACTGCCACTGGCATTGGGTCGTCTTTGTCTCCATTAGGCGATCTCAGAGTAGTTTGAGTGGAGCGAGCGGAGGCAATTCCTACGATTGGAACCAGGACGACCATGTAAGAGTTGCTGTCATGTTATCATGATGGCTCATTGCTTGTTGTTCACATCAAGTAAACCGACAGTCATTCCTCCCATCCTTCCATTTTCCGATCCGCTTATCCTCACAAGGGTCACGGGGGGTGCTGGAGCCTTCCCCAGCCATTTTCAGGCAGTAGGCGGGGGACACCCTGATCCGGTTGCCAGCCAATCACAGGGCACATATAGACGAACAACCATCCGCGCTCACACTCACACCTAGGGACAATTTAGAGTGTACAATCAACCTGCCATGCATGTTTTTGGAATGTGGGAGGAAACCGGAGTACCTGGAGAAAACCCACGCAGGCCCGGGGAGACCAATGCAAACTCCACACAGGGAGGCCGCAGCTGGAATTGAACCCGGTACCTCTGCACTGTGAGATCGACACGCTAACCACTGGACCACCGGGCAATCCACTCCTCACACATTGAGACTTAAAGCCAGATCGTATGAGTGTGCTCGACGTCTTCTTCACGCTAGCACAGATCACATGTTCTGTTTTTGGGTTTGTTGTACGCTATCCACTGAGCTGTGATCTTTTACTAAGATCCCAAATAGCTGGCACTCACTCGATCAGATTGTGCGCACTGTTGGCAACGGGTGTAATAGTCAAATCAACTACTGTATTTAAAAGACTACATTCAAAACTGTTATACTGTCACTCAGTGTTTAGAAACCTGCCAACAAATTTAAAATCGCGCTCTATCAACCAAGCTTTTGTAGTTCAGCTTCCACATTTTGCGTGAGCAATCAAGTTTGCACCCGTTTTTGCAGATGCAAACTTTTTGCCTATAAGGCTTGTTACAGCTTCATAGTCATCCCCCTTTGCACGATTTTAGTTCTTAATTAGCGGCAGCGTCTGCTCCTCTCATCCCCATTGCACACTGACTTGTCTTATGTTCCCATTGTGCTTCCTGTCACTTGCTCATTCGCCGTTTGATTTGTTTTCTGCTGTTCAGCTTTACTCGTCAAACTTGGATGTAGTCCACGACTTTCATCTATCGTCCGCAGATGTCTCCAAGCTATAACGATGTGTCAGGGAAAGAGCTGCAGCCGCGCAGACAAAGGCGGACTCGTGTCCCTGACAAGCCTAACTACTCCCTCAATTTGTGGAGCATCATGAAGAACTGCATTGGCAAGGAGCTCTCCAAAATTCCCATGCCCGTGAGTGAGCATGACTTCCTGCATTTCTGAACATTCCGGCCTTGGTTCAACCACTTTTCAGAAATTTCTGTTCGTCACCTTCAACTCCGCATCTGCAGGTGAACTTCAATGAGCCTCTGTCGATGCTACAACGTCTCACTGAAGATTTGGAGTATCATGAGCTCCTGGACAAGGCAGCGCGCTGTGACTCCTCGCTGGAGCAGATGTGTTTGGTTGCCGCCTTCTCCGTGTCTTCTTACTCCACTACGATACACCGGACAGCCAAACCTTTCAACCCGCTTCTGGGGGAGACCTATGAGCTTGATCGCCTCGAGGAGTTTGGCTACCGCTCACTGTGCGAGCAGGTAAAAATCACAGCGACACGCGTACTTCGTTTAACAAACTGGATATTTGGCATTCTGAATTGTGCTTCTGTCATTTCCTATAAATTCCCGTCTATTTTGGTAAAAGGTGAGCCATCACCCCCCTGCAGCTGCACATCATGTGATTTCCCAACGAGGCTGGACCTTGTGGCAGGAAATTACAATTGCCAGCAAGTTCCGTGGAAAATACCTCTCTATCATGCCTCTGGGTAAGACATTCATTTATTGCTGCTTGGAAACGCCTCAATTCCAACAAATGCTTAGTCTGTCGAAACAAAGAGCATTAATTGCCAAATTGTGCGTGAACTGCAAGCTAAGAGACTATTCTCCTGCTCTAGAGGGTTTGACCGCTGCAGCTGCATCCTGCGCACTTGATACCCAGGGGATAGGGAAAATAAATCAGGGTTGCTTGGTGACACTTACGACACAAACATAAAATATGGAATTAAGGGGAGTTATATCATTCCGGTCCAATGATCGGAGGCAGTGGTATTTGCACGCTTTCTCTCGTTCCTTCCGGGTGGTGTCCCGTATCGGAAAACACATGCAGTATGGAGCAATCGTTTATCGTAAACTCAAGTTTGCAATCTTCCAGGCTTAGTTGAAGGGCTAGGTGAGAATGAAAATACTCTGTGCAGTCCTTAAATGTGTGAGAACATGTTTTGGAGGCAAACACTGTTCATAGACTTGCAGTAATAATATGCATGTAGATTTTAAAACCAAATCATTCATGTTTTTGAGCTGTTATCAAAACGACATGACCGTCCTATGCTAACACTCAAAGGTTGTTGTTGTTGTTTGACATCTCCAGGGGCAATTCATCTGCAGTTCCACTCTAGCGGCAACCACTACGTGTGGAGAAAAGTCACGTCCACGGTGCACAACATCATTGTGGGCAAGCTGTGGATTGACCAGGTTTGTTTACAAGCACTTCTCATCGATTGCCATCCATCAGCACGTCCAAAGCCCAAGAAATCTGGTTACTTTTAGTGTAGCCTGCGGTTCTCGAATGGCAACTCATTATTGTTTATAAATTCTTTATTAAGCTGGTGTTGGGATTGAAGGGAGTTTGCAGATGTGAATGTATCTGCACATTTATTCATTATTATCTTCTTTGCTGACATGATGTCAATTGCATCTCACTCCTTTGTGTGTGTGTGTGTGTGTGTGTGTGTGTGTGTGCGTGTGTGTGTGTGTGTGTGTGTGTGTGTGTGCAGTCAGGGGACATTGAAATCGTGAATCACAGGACCAAAGAGACCTGTCAACTGAAATTCTCTCCCTACAGTTATTTCTCCAGGGATGTTCCTCGGAAGGTAAATCCTCCTTTCTGATTTTCCTTACTGACAACACTCGTCTTCTTTTTAAAACTTGTCTTGTTCGGCTGCCTTGCCATGTAGAATGGTGGCTCTCTATGCCTTTTGATGCTTAAAATACTCCCTTCGTGGTCATTTGTGCTGTGCTATTTACTGGGAATGCACTGTTGATAGAACAAGTTTTGTGAAGGCACAAACGGAGAGAAAAGAGAGCACAAAACAAAAGTGAAATTTAAAAAAAACAGCGTGATAGCTGAAGAACACAGTTTGTAACAGCTCCAGGAGGGGAACACTGGGACCAACCAGTCCCCCCCC